AACTCATAATCACTCCACTAAATCTAGTACCCGTCTTCTCCATTACATATTTATTACAACATTATTAACTATCATCCCCATGCTACACTCTACATCTCCATATCTATTCTTCAACTATCCATTTGTACCTCCTAATCCCTTTACCTTTCTTTTTGTCCTCCAAACCCCCTCCCATCTAGTATCCCTCTAAATATCCTCTGTATCTATGAGTTTATTTCTGCTTTTGTTGTTGTTGTTGTTGTTGATTTTGTTCTTTAGATTCCATATGTACATGAAATCACGTGATATTTTTCTTTCTCTATCCAACCCATTTCATTCAGCACAGTACCCTCCAGGTTCATCAAGACAATATCTTTCTCCATTCCCTTCTTTTCAGTCTGTGTTTCTCTTTTAATCTGAAGTGAGTCTCTTGTAGGCAGCATATGTAAGGGTCGTTTTCTTATCCATTCACCACTCTATCTTTTGATTGGAGCACTTAATTCATTTGAAGTATTTGTTGGTAGGAATGTAGTTATTACCATTCTTTATTCCTGTTTTTGATATTTTTTTTTTTCTTAAAGAAGTCCCTCAACATTTTCTGTAATACTGGTGTTGATTAATTCCTTTAGCTTATTTTTCTCTGGGAAGCTCTTTATCTGTGCTTCATCTCTGAGTGATAGCTTTGCTGGATAAAATATTCTTGGTTGTAGATCCTGGGTTTTCATCATGTCAAATATTAAGTGCCAAGTGCTTCTGTCCTGCATAGTTTCTTTTGAGAAATCAGCTGCCAGTCTTATGGGTGCACCCTTGTAGGTAACTAACTGCTTTTCTCTTGCTGCTTTTAAGATTCTCTCTTTTGTATTTAACCTTTGACATTTTAATTATTTAATTTTGAAGTGGGTCTCTTTGGGTTCCTGGATTTTGACATGGATATTTTTGCCTTTAATAGTGTCCCATAAGCTCCTTAAATTATTATTATAGTCTTGGCTTCTTATTTCTTGCCATTCTGATTGAGTGTCCTTGGCTTCCCCATCCTCTATTTTGGTCATTCGATCCTCTTCTTTATCCACTCTGTTGATTCTCTCTGATGTACTCTTCATCTCAGATAATGTGTTGTTCATTTCTGACTGATTCCCTTTTATAATGTCCATTTCCATTTTTATGTTTTTTCATCTCTTTATTAAAGTTATCACTGATTTCATCTACACATCCCCTAAGTTTATTGAGCATCTCTATAACCTGTGTTTTGAACTCCGCAACTGTTAGATTGCTTGACTCCATTATTTCTGGATCTTTGTTCTGTTCTCTCATATAGTTTTTGCTTCTTTGTCTTCCCATGTTGGCTGCCTTTCTGTGCCTGTTTCTGTCTACTAAGCAAAGCTCTTAAGTCTCCCGGTCTTATTAGTGCAGCTTTGTTTAGTACATGTCCAGTGGCACAGTCCTGAGATGAGTTCAGCTGCAGGCCAAGTTTAGCCCCAGCCTGTGTCCTTCCAGGGCCACAGGCTGTTATGATTCAGCAAGCAATCCACAGATGCTGTGCTTATAGTTTCCGCAATAGTCCACCAGAAACCGAGGCCAGCTGCCACCAGTGTGTGTCTAATCACTGCTTGGCAAGGGATACCTGACTAAGTGAGGACACACCTGGATGTGGTTTGGGTGGGGCCGCAAGTTGGGGGAGGCAGAGTTTCAGGGAATCCTCTTGGCAGAGTGACTTCTGTTAATCAGTTTGATGACATCTCCACTATGACAGCACTGGATCTACACACTGGGATGGGAGAGAGCTCAACAGAGAAACAATGGATGCCGCCGGCACTTCTGTACACATCAAGTCTTGCCTCAGCCTTCACTCCAACAACTCACTGTCCCCCTGTAAGTCCTTGGTGCTTTCTGCACAGCCGAACCAGCACAGGTGCTCAGAGCAAGTAGGTCCAGTACCATGAAAGTCTGCTCATGGTGATACCCTCTTTAAGAGGCGTCTGCAGCTACCGGAGCCTCTATCCCACTCAACCACTTGAGACTAGGCAGCCTCGCGTCCTTTCCCCATCCTACCGTCTGCCGTTGCAGGGTGATTTCTTGGATTTCTTCATAGTTGTATGACTTGTTCATCTAGATCCCAGGTGATTTTCCTTGCTGTTTGCTCCTTGTTTCTTTCCCAACTTTGATTTGGTTGCCAGAGGGATGAACATAGCCTCTATCATTTACGCCACTTTTTTTCCCACCATATCTCTTGCTGCTTTTAAGATTGTCTCTTTGTCTTTAACCTTTGGCATTTTAATGATGATGTCTTGGTGTAGGCCTCTTTGGGTTCCTCTTGTTTGGGTCTCTCTGCACTTCCTGGGTTTATATGTCTATTTCCTTCACCAGGTTAGGGAAGTTTTTCCTTATTATTTCTTTAAATAGATTTTAAATTTCTTACTTTCTGTTTTCTTTCTGGTACCCCTATGATGTGACTGTTGATATGCTCGATGTTGTCCCAGAGGCCCCATAAATTATTCTCATGTTTTTGGATTCTTTTTTCTTTTTGCTGTTCTGATCACATATTTTCTGCTACCTTATTTTCCAAATCACTGATTCAGTCTTCTGCTTCATTTAATCTACTGTTGATTCTCTCTCATGTGTTTTTTTTTTATTTCAGTTATTGTATTTTTCATTTCTGACTGGTTCTTTTTTATGTTTTCTATTTCCATTTTTGTTTTCTATATTTTTAAGTTCATAGTAATCACCAAGCATCCTTATAACCAGTGTTTTGAATTCTGCATCTAGTAGTTTGCTTGTTTCCATTCACTTTAGTTTTATTTTTTTCTGGAGCTTTTTCTGAGCTTCATTTGGGACATGTTTCTTTGTCTCTTAGTTTTGGCTACCTCTCTGTGTTTGTTTCTATATATTATGTAGAGCTGCTCTATCTGCCAGTTGTAGTAGAATGGCCTTATTAAGTAGGTGTCCTGTGGGCCCAGTGATGCAGTCTCCCTGGTCACCTGAGCTGGGTGCTCCAGGTGTGTCCCTTTTGTGGGTCGTGTGTGCCCTCCTATTGTAGTTGAGCCATGACTGTAGCTGGCACAGGCTGATTGGTTGCAAGGACTGGCCATGACTACAGTGGGGGAGCTGTTGTGCAGGGGTTGACCCTGTAGAGCAAGATTCACTTTAGCAGGGCTCTGGTGCCTGCTGCATCTATCCTTTGTGTTTGTCATTTGTTGAGGTACTGGTCTGGTGTAGTCTGAAGCTGATGACGGGGTTTGTTGGTTCTGGGGCCTCTTGGGAGGGTCTCTGTTGCAGGCCAAGGTCAGCTGCTGCCTGTGACCTGCCAGAGGCCACTTGGTATGAGCTACAAAGTGATCTTCAGACGGTTTCCACTTGTGTTGGGTTTGGAGGTGTCTGGAAGAGGCTAAGCTGCTGCTAGTGCCAGGCTTGGGGCTGCTTAGCAAGAGGTGTGGGGTATTTGAAGCTAGATGCTGCTTATTCTGGGTTTGTGAACCTTTGATAGATTTTAGGAACGTCTACGGCATGAGCCAAGACAGGCCATTTGTATGGAAAAGCCCTTGGAAGTAGCTTGGGTGATTCTGCAAGTTGGGTTGGGTGGAATCTCAGGGAATTACCAGGGCTGGGTGACCAAACTCATATAGCACCTGCTTGGGTTGGGGTAGGGCTCAACAAAGGAACAGTGGCTTCTGCCAACACGTACATCTGAGAAAAAGCTGCCACTCCAGCCCTTGCTCTGAAGCCAGACACTTTAGTTCTTTTCCATATATTACTGGAACCTTTTGATCTGCTATTCTAGCACTGGAGTTCAGAGAGAGTCAGTCAGTTCTTCAGCAATTAAGTCCATGAGTGAGCCCTTTTGAGGAATGCATGGGACTCCAGCAGCCCTCTGTCTCATTCAGCCATAATCTCCACTTTTTTTCACAGCCAGAAGTTGTGGGGACTTCTCTTCCAGGCACTAGAACCCTGAGAGGGAAGCTTGGTGTGGGACTAGGACCTCTTGCTCCTCCAGGAAGACCTCTGCAGCTAATATATCTCTCCCGATTTTTAACAACCATGTCTGTGTGGGACCAGTTTATTCCACATCTCTGTCCCTCCTACCAGTCTTGATGTGGCTTCTTCTGTATATCTTTAGTTATAGGACTTCTGTTCATCTAGACTTCAGGTAGTTCTCAATGATGGTTGTTCTGTAGTTCCATTGTAATTTTGAAGTAGTCATAGGAGGAGGTAAACACAGCGTTTACCTACTCTGTCATCTTGTTTGGAAGCTCCCCTACACATTTATATTTGATTTAATTTGCCATTTTTGACTTTCAGGAAAGTTAGGCCTATTTGTACTCCCACCCCCCAGCAGCTGAGAGTATGTGTTCCCCACACATTTCCAACGATGGCTGTTATTGTTCTTTCTGCCAATGTGATAGGCAAATATAGGGTGCATTATTGTTTTTATTTGCATTTACTGTCCTGCTAATGTAGTTGAGCATCATTTCATATGCTTTACTGCCATTTCTATTTCTTCTTTGTAAATTGCCTTTCAGTTCTTTTGACTAGTTTTCTAAGGGATTTTTTTAAATCATTGATTTATAGGAGTTTTTGTAATATTTTGATAACAAAGATATCAACCCTTGGAAATTTCTGGCAGATAGTCTCTTCGTTGACTTTAAACTATGTTTATTTTTATGTCGTTAATTCTGTCAATGTTTCCATTCATGATATTTGTTTTTGGTATCTTAAGTGGAAAGGGCTTTCCCATCTCTAGATCATTTTCTTCTAATATCTATATAGTTCTTTTGTCTACCCTTACTTCTTTTTTTTCATTCGAATAAATTCCACCTGGAATTTATTTTGATGAAACTTGCTCTCTACCTCTATCTTTGTTATTTTTTCAGTGGAGTCATCAACCACATGTTGAAATACTTTGCCCACTGATTTTTGATATGTCCTATCACATAAATTCCCATCTACACTGAGTCTTTCTAAAAGTCTTTTTATTGGTTGATTTTTGCATTGGGTAAAAAAGCACTTCATATTTCAATCGATTTCAGTCGTATCATAAAGAAGAAGGCCAAGAGTCAAGTGAAGAAGTCAGTGAAGAAGATTTGGAGGTGGGGGCTGAGACAGCAGAGGGAGTGGAAGTTAAACAAAGGTAAAAAGGCATGAGAGGATATAAAAATAATGTAAATAAGAGGGTTAAGAAATTTTTGTTTATTTTTACTATGATAAATAATTCAACAATTTCTTGCAATGGAAACAACTTGCAGTTTAAGAACAGTGCTTGTCATATTACTATTTACTTAATTTTGTGAATATTGTTAGTACATTATGTTATTCTGTCTTGGTTTCATCTAGAGACTGTTAGGTTTTCAGAACTTACTGACAATTATGTACTTTGTTCTTTGATTGATGAATTTCTCTAACTGAGTGAATAGGTGGAACCTGTCTTGCACTCAACCTTGGGTTGTTGTTTTTCTTTTGCTACCCAGAACAGATTATCATTGGAATGCTGTCCGAAAAGCTCTCTCAGAGGTTAGTATTTCCTGTCTTGTCAATGATGTCTCACTTTGTTACCTAACAGTATTCAAACAGGGTGGAGACTTTGGAAGATAGCATTGAATCAGATTCAAACAGGGTGGAGACTTTGGAAGATAGCATTGAATCTTAAACAGATTCCAGGGCATGGAATGTACAGAGCATACATTTCTGGTTTAGTAAGCCTGTGCTCCAAGTAACATTTTCTATTATGTCTTTTCTATAAGAAGAGTGGATTTGAGGGCTTGTAAATATCTCTCATTGATTCTGCCTGAATTTTCTATCATTTGAGTAAAGATTACTGTTAAATTTCAATTAACATGAAAAATTCCAAAAAGCTCAAAAAAGTAAGAAATTATCCATAATTTTGTCATTTAAAAATTATATAACAAAATGAAAATTCATTCCCTTCCATAAGTAACCACCTTTAACAGTTTAGTAAATATTCTTTCTGACCTTTTACCCTGCTTCTCACTTACATGGACATGCTCGTGTGTGTGTGTGTGTGTGTGTGTGTGTGTGTGTGTGTACATATATACAAAAAAATCATTAGTTCTTTTGTGTGTATCAGTTTATGACATTAGCTCATCTGCTACACGGCATACATTGGAGGGACATTTTGATGAGGGTTGTGCAGGAGCACAGAGCTCTGCTCATTGGGTGCAGCATGGGGGTTAGGTCCTTGAGAGAGGCCAAGATTCAGTGATGGCCTCCTCTCAGGAATTTCTGTGTTCGTCTGATAAAGAGAATACTATAAATGTGAAGAAACATGAATAAAAACAAGCAAATCAATTTGTTTTTACCGTCTTCAGCAGATAAGCACTGTTGATGTGTTAACCACGATGGGAGCTATTCCTGCAGGATTCAGGCCTTCCATGCTCTTCCAGCTTCTGGAGGAAGGTAACAGGTGTCTATCAGCCACCACAGACTTTTAGTTAATTAGTCAAGCTTTATGTCTAATTTTCCTGTTTTAGCCAAAACAAATTGTTTAAAAAGATGTTGAACCTCACATCTCATTGGTGCTCATCTTTTCCTTATCTTTCCTGTGACAATGGAGAAGGACCCATGGTACTGTCAGAGGCCAGCCTGTCTACTTTTGCTCTTGGCTCCAGCTCCTTTCCTTTATTCCAGAAACATGACTGTCTTAAAGGTCAGCCCTTCCCTGTATCTTCAGCCCACTTCCCTTCTCTCACCAGCTTCTTTCCTCATCAGTAGTACTAGCATGCCCAATACCTCCCACCTCAAAGAACCAGCCTCTCTAGCCCTGTCCCTTTCTAGGTGAAGGCTCCCTTTTTTCACTTTTCTTCACAGCAAGACTTTTCTAAAGTTATCTCCATTAACCTTTTCTGTTTTCTTACTTGTTCTTGCATTTTCCTGTACTTGACAATATTTGTCCATAAGCTCATTTTAAAGAAGAATGATGTTAAGGGAGGATGTCCAGATACATTGAGTTGTGGAGTTATCCATGGAAGGGCTGCTTTGAGGTTCCTCTGCTCTCAGCACCCCAACTTCTCATGAATGCCCAACTCCTTCTCTTCTTTTGGGTCTCAGGGTAAATTCCACCTTCCCAAAGAAGACTTCCTTGAGTAATGTAGGTCCCCTGACTCCTGTCCACCTGAGCACCTTTTATGGATCTGAGTCAGCTTATAATTATCTTATTTATTCTCTTGTCTACTTAATTTTTTAATTGTTTCCCTACTCAACTGTAAACAAATAAGGACAGGAACATATTTCCCTGTTCACATTGGTATTTCCAGATCCTAGCATAGTACCTGGCACAGAGTAGGAACTCAAAAGCTGATTTCTTGAATGAATATATGATTTTGTAGGTAAGTATTCTTCATGACTACAATATGGGAGAACAGTATCGAAATGGTTTTAAGATGTGAAATTAACTATTTTATATACATATTTTAAATCTCCAAAAAGTGTTTACAGATTTTCCGCATATTTCAAAAAATATTTGAATGGATCATCTTTATCATGGGACATGTTATTGGCCTAACAGTCTTTCAGATCTTCCTTAAAGCTGCTCTGAGATCAGCTCTTAGGTGCTTCTATTTTTACATTTCATCCGTTGTTTTTATGTGTAAATCTCCGTTGGTATTTCTGTCTTAGGAAGCCCATTTCCAGCAAGCAGCTTGGCCTTTTGGGTGTCTGTTTCCTAAGTTGGTAGTAAAACATAGATTTTTGACTTTGAATTTTATTCCTTTCTTTGTAAGAAAATAAAGGAAAAATTATTTTTGCAGGGAATCAGTTTCGAGCAAGTTACTTCTTACAGCCAGAGCTCGCTCCTTCACAGCTGGCCTTCAGAGATCTCATATGGGATGCTAAGACAGGCACTGTAAGTATAGTCACCACCAGTAGGATTATGGCTTTTCTAGATTGTGTCGTTATTGCAAGTATATTAGTAACATGTAAATTGATTAATACATTATAGAAAACAGAAAAAAAAAATGGTTTCTGTATTGTAATTTTGAACCACTCAGTGAGTTTCAGCTAACGTAAAACTTGGGTTTGTTACTGTGACTTCATCTTGTTTCTCTTCTTTATTGCTCTTTTCTCACATCGTTACAAAGAGGATAGTACTATGCATCTATCTTAATCACTTTTTGCCTCAATTTCTTCATCTGTGGAAAGTGAATAATAATAATAATACTTCCAACATAGAATTATTGTAATAATTACATTGTATGTATGAAGAGGCTGACGACAGTGCCTGGCTCATGATAACTCAGGAAATGTTAGCTAGTATCATTATCAGTAGTAGTAGTAGTAGTAGTAGTAGTAGTAGTAGTAGTAGTAGTAGTAGTAGTAATATTATTTTGATTAAGTAGGATTGAGGACATTGGTAATACTTTATGATTATACTTCTTTGGGTATAGCTTAGAGTAAAAGATTCTTGTATCCTCAGTATTTGAAGTAGGAAATACTCTTGATATTTAATTGTACACTCTGACTTTTTAGCAGGTATAAACCACATTAGAACACATCACTCTTCTTCTTGTTTACCTTCTACTTTTTCTCCCTTCCAGAACCTCAGGGGAAGAATAAAAGGACCCAGTGTGGCCACATTTTGTAGGGTGGGGTGGCACAGAATTTTAGTACCCTTTTCCCTGTCAACCTGAGCATTGCCTGGAATTTTCTTAGTATTAAGTATCTTTTATTACAAGTCAACAAAGATGTTGTATTTGGTCTGTTAAGTGTACAAGTACTAGAATAAATGGCATTTTATTGTGTAGACTTCTACCCAAATAACTAAATATTCAGCTCCCGTTTCTTAAATTGCAAAAGTGACAAGCTTTTACATGTTATGTTATTTTTTTCAGTGATATAATTATTTAAATGGAAAGGCCCATGACCAATAAAGAAGAATGTTAAGAATTAAAGATATGCTTAAATAAGAAACCAGAATGCCAATTTATTTATTTGCATCATGAACTATACCTGTGAAGTAGAACTGAATAATTGCTTCCAATGCAAGTCATTTTCTTTGTCAAAACATCTGCATAAGGCCTTTGAGCCACATTTCTCTTGCTTAGGCCCACTTCCATGTTTGGAAGTGTACTTTCCCTTCTAATAAAACTTTTTTTTTTCGGCTATAAAAAAAAAAAGTCTGCATAAGAAGCCAAGTGACAATGTAGATGGAATTAAACCAATGAGGAGCCAGCTGGGTACTATGAATACTAGTTTGACTGTCTACACTCACCCACATTATAGAAGAATGACTGTGAATGAACCTCGAGTAGAGTGATTCAATGGTCAAGTTACACATTTTATCTGATTCTACTGACTGTTCATCACAAATTTTATGCATTTACCACCCCCAAGCAAGTATTTTACATATGTATGAAAAATTTACCTAAAGTTTTGATTTAAATTGAACATACTGTTGACATTTTTCTCGTGGATATATATTTGCAAGTAAACTTTTTCCTTTTATTCTTTTTTATTCTATATACATATTCTTAAGTATTTATAAAAGATGTTTTGAAAATGATTTTGTCTTATAAGTCATAAAAGTAAACTTTTTTAATGACTAATTTCTCTCTCAGATTAGGTCGAGACCAAGTCGTGTTTCATTGATTCTGACCCTGTGGAGCTGTAAAATGATTCCTCTTCCGGGAGTGAGCATCCAGGTTCTCAGCAGACACGTGCGCCTCTGCCTGTTTGATGGTAATAAGGTGAGCTACTGAAGATCACACCGGTTCATTTCAGAATGAAAAATGTTTTGTTAATGCATGGGGTCCATCTGTCTCTGTGTCTTTCTCTCAGTCTCTCTTTTTTGTCACATGTTTACGTGTGTGTGTATGTGTATATTTATGTGCAAGTGTATGCATACGTGTGTATGTATGTATGCGTGTATATGTTTATGTATATGTGCATATGCATGTATATGTGTATGTATGTATAAGTGTATGTGTGTATAGGTATATGTGTAGATGTATATATTTGTGTTTGTATATGTTTATATGTATGGATATGTGTATGTATATGATTATGTATATGTTAATGTGTATGTAAATGTATATGTGCACATATATGTGTACTGCATAGGATCTGTCTCTGTCTTTCATTCTCTCTTGTTATATGTTTACATGTGTGTATGTGTATGTATATGTATAACTATGTTTATATATAAATATATGTGTTTGTATATGTCTGAATATGTATATGATTATGTGTATGTATATATGTATGTATATGTGTGTGTTTATATGTGTATGTGTGCATGTACATGTATGTATGTATATGCTATACTCATATATTTGTGTGTATGTATATGTTATGTGTATATGTATGTATATGTCTATGAAATAATGGTAGAATACAAACCACATGGGTTTTGATGACATAGACTTAATTCCTGGCTCTTTCAGTTGCTAGGTATGTCATGTTGGTATATATATCGCAGTTAACTCCTCTGATCCTTATATTTTTCACCTACAAAAAGGTACTGATGCCTGTCTTCTAGTATTCTATACAGACCACTTTTTAAGTGCACAGTGTGTTGCATTTTTGACAAATATACAGGATGTGGAGTATTACCCTCACCTTGCAATGTTTCCTTGTATCCTTTTCCATTTAACTCCTCCCTGATTCCTAAGAGAATATTTTTACCCAGTACCAAGGAAAGAATTTGAATGACTCTAAAAAAATTGATATGCTTATGTGCTACAGTTTAAATTAATATCTTTAATTACATGTGCTAGACAAGAAGAAAAATTTTAAATCAGTGATCAAAGCTCTCAACTCAAGAAGCTAGAACAGGAAGAAAAAAGAATGGAGGAAATAATAATATAAGATTAGAACTTAATGAACAAAATAGAAAATCAAAAAAGGCAAAAGTTTATTCTTTGAAAAAATTAGTAAAATCGAGAGATGCATAGTAAGACTCATCAATAAATTTTAAAAAGTGATAGAGAAAGAAAACAAATGATCAATATCTGACATGAAAATGGAGACTTCATCACAGATTCCACAGACATTAAAAGGACCATAAGGGATATTATGAACATCTTTATGCCAATAAATTTAACAATGTAGATAAATAGATAAATCTCTTGAAAACCGTAATTACTGAAACTGATACAAGAAAAAATAGAAATTTTAAATAACCTTTGTTAAAGAAATTGAAACTGTAATTTAAAATCTTCCAACAAAGAGAACTTTTGGCCTACATGGCTTCAATAGTGAATTCCTCCAAACATTTAAGGAAGAAATAATACCAGTATTACACAAATTCTTCCAAAGAATAAATAAAGAGGAAATGCTTCCCAACTCATTTTATAAGGCCAGGAAATATATGATTCCAAAATATGACCAAACATTACAGGAGAGAAAAATAACAAGACCAGTATCCCTCATGAATATCCAAACTAAAATCCTAAACAAAATATTAGCAAATTAAATATCATGACTAATTGGGAAATATTGAATTTGAATTCTAGGGATTCAAATGCACACAGCTGTGTAACCAACATTTAACATTTGAATATAGACCATTGTAATAAGCCATAGTAACAGAACTAAAGAAGAAAAATATATAGTCATCTCAATGGATTTAGAAAAAGTATTTGATGAACAAGCCAGATCCCGTCTGATCTCGGAAGCTAAGCAGGGTTACACCTGGTTAGTACTTGGATGGGAGACCACCTAAGAAGACCAGGTGCTGTAGATGTAAATAAAATAAAAAATAAGGATTGTAAGCTGACGAGGTCCTTGCAGTCTGTGAGGTCAACCAAGGGTTGCCTCACCTTAAGAAAAAAAGTATTTGACAAATTTCAAGACCCATTCATAATTTTCAAAAATTTTTCAACAAACTAAGAAGGGGATTTCCTCTTTACCAATTTTCCAGATTGGAAAAGGGCAACAAGAGAAGACTAAAGCTAGCTTCATCATACTTAATGGTGAAATACTGAACACTTTTCCCCTAAGATCAGGAAAAAGTCAAAGGATAAGATAATTCAATTGTTTAAATGGGTGAAAGACTTGAACAAGCACTTGAAAATATATGTGAAAAACCAAGAGACATATAAAGAGATACTCAACATATAATAAGTCATCAGGAAAACACAAAACCATAATGAGAGAGATCCAGCCATAGGCTATGTACAAGAAACCTACCTTAAATATAATAATACAAGCAGGCTAAAGGTAGAAGAAAAAGACATAGCACTCAAAAGATATTAATATCAGACAAAGTAAACTTTAGATAAAGGACAATTACCAGGAATAAGGAGGTACACTACGTGATAAAAGGGATGATTCACCAAGAAGATGTAGTAATCCTAAATGTGTATACACCTAACATCAGAGTTTCCAAATACATGAAGTAAATATTGATAGAACCAGAAGGAGAAATGGGCAAAGCCACAGTTATAATTAGAAACTTCAATACTTCTCCCTTCACAATCTGTAGAACAGGCAGACAGAAAATTAATAAGGATATAAAAGAATAGAATAATACCATCAAGCTGTATCTAATTAACATTTGTATAACACTTCACCCCCAAATAGTAAAATACACATTCTCTTAAGTGCATAGGGAACATTCAGCAAGATAGATGAACCCGAACAAATTGAAAGGATTGAAATCATACACTGTATGGTCTTTGATGACCACATGGAATTGAATTAGAAATCAGTAACAAAGATACCTGGAAAAATCATTAAATAATTGGAAATGAAACAACAGATTCTAAATAATCAATAGGTTAAATGGAAATTAGAAAATATTTTGAACAAAATTTTTTGAACAAAAAAGGAAAATGTAACATATAATCTGTGGGATGTTGGCTAAAGCATTGCTCAGGGATGTTGATAGCACTAGGTGCTTACCTTAGAAAATTCTCAAATGGATGGTCTGACTCTCTCCTGAGTGGTGAATAGGGCTTTACAAGGCAAAGAGAAAGGGACAGGTGTACCTGATTAAAGAAGCAGCACAGATGAAGGTCTTGGTAGGAAAAGACTTGGGAAAAGGGAGGCTAGTATGGCTAAGGGGAGAGAGCGAGGGGAAGTGTGGACTGGGATGAAATGGGAGACATCAGGAAGGAGTATAGTATAGGACATTGTAAGCCATGGTATAAGTAAGTTTTGTCTTTATCCTAAAAACAGGGAGAATTGGGGAAGTGGCATGATTTAGATTTACGTTTTGGAAAGATCTCTGGCTCCTCTCTGGAAATGAATTAGAGGGGACAGAAGGGGCATGAGTAGACCATTTGGGGGTTATTGTACAGTGTGGTGGTCAAAGGGCAGCAAGTGTCACCTTCAAGAAAACAAAAGCTGGAGCCAGCCTGCCTAGGATTAGACTTGCCTCTATAGTCTTCTAAGTGTGGTATGCTGACCAGAGTACTTGACCTTGCTCTCACTTTCCTCGTCTGGTATACATACATCTCTTAGGGTCAGTGTGAGGAATAAATGAGTTAACATAAATAAAGCACTTAGAACAATACATGGAAAATAGTAAATGTGCCATAGACGATAATGACTTAGATCAGGGAAGTGGAGGTAGAGATGAGAAGTGAAAACCAACACAATTTGGTGATGGATGGATATGGCAGGTGAGGGAGAATGGGGTGTCAGTGGCGGTGATATTTATTGACATTGGGAACACCGAAAGCAGATCAGATCTGGAGGAGTTTGTGGGTTTAGCTTTGTTCACATGGAGTATACTTTTAACTCATGGCATGAGGAAATTACCTTCCTTTCATTCATCTGAAGTGGGGGTAAATAAATGAACTTGTGTTATATTGATCCTTACTTCCAAATTCTGCACAAAACCACTGCCACAAATGAGACAATAGGTGTCATCAGTGACCAAGAAAAAATGAATTGCCTTTTCCTGAGATCTGGTTTGATATTTTCTGCTTTACCTCTCTCTATTCTCATATATGAGAACATAAGACAAAGATTGGAATTTTATTTTAAATAACATCAAAATAATAGAAGTTATTTTACAGAAAAAGAATAGAAATTATGAAATTAATTTGTCAACTTTCCAAATTAATAAGTTATAGAACAAATACTCATGCTATTGACTTGAGTGCTTCTTTAATAAATCTAAGCCTACTTACAACTAAAAAGCATTTTTTATGAAATTAACAAGACACTGCTTCCAATAATGGCCAGGTAAGCTCTTCTCAGAACAACTTGCCAGAGGTGATAACTGAATTCTGGGCAATATACCAAAAGCAGCTCCCTGAAGGCAATGAAAAGCATTCAAAGCAGGCAGATACTGGAGAGGAGTCCGAAATCATTAGTGTGCTGTCTTTTTGGGTGGAATTTATTATTGATTTTCTCTCCTTTTTATTCTTCTGTTTTCTTTTCCCTGCCTTGGTATATATTACTTGAACATTTCTTAGAACTCCATTCTGAATTATCTGTAGTGTTGTTTAGTGGATCTCTCTTTTTAGCTTTTTTAGTGGTAACTCCAGGTGTTATTTGTACATACACAACTTACCACAGTCTATTAGTGACACCATTCCAGTTTGAATCAAGTATAGAAATCTTACCTCTCTTTACTTCTCTTTACTCTCTCTCCTTTATAATATAATCATCTTAAATATTTCCCTCACATACATTGAGAACCGCATCACACAATATTATAATTTTTGCTTCAACTATCGAGCACAATTTAGAAAACTCAAGAGAAAATGTGTTGTACTTACCCTTTATTTTATTCTTCGTATTGTTCTTCTTTCCTTCCTGATTCTCAGAGATTCCCTCTTTTATTGAGTCCTTCCTGTTTGGAAAACGTCCTTTAGCCAACCTTTTCAGGTGAGGCCTGCTGGCTGCAGACTCTCTTAGTTTTTCTTTATCCGAGAATATCTCTTTTCCCCACTCATTCCCGAAGGATATTTTTACTAGATATAGAATTTTGAGTTGGTGATTCTTTTCTTTGACACTTGACAAATAACATGCCACTTTCTTCTGGCCTCTGTGGTTTCCCATGAGAATTGTTTCCCTGTCAGTTAATCAAGCTGTTGTTCCTCTCTCATTGCTTTCCAGATATTTCTGTTTAGTTTTTAGACGTTTATGCTGTATCTTGGCATGGATTTCTTGAGTTTATCCAGTTTGGAGTTTGTTCAGCTTCTCGAATCTGTAGGTTGATTTTTTTTTTCTTTTTTTGCCATTGTTTTCTCTAATATTTTTCAGCTGCAAACTCTCCTCTCATCTGGGAGCTCAGAATAAATAAAATGCAGTCTCACATAACAGCATGTAATAATCAGGAGGAGTTTGCTCTTTAGAAGTCTGGGTTGAGGATATATATTATTTTAGGAAGAGTTTAAAGTAAATTCATATATATTAGCTATTGATGGTAATGGGAACTTACTCTATGTGGAAAACCACTTAGCCACCCATAAGTTACTCCTAGCTGCCTACCAGTAGGGACTTAGCAGTGAAATGAATTTGACCTAATATGACATGTTTGGGATAATTTCTAATTACTTTTAAAGGTTAGTTTTAGAAGTGCTCTACTGAAATATTTTTATCAAAAATAAAAAATATATTATCTGTTCATTTGGAAGATGTCAATTTTAGCCATGACTTTACAGAATTTGAACTCTTCTTTATAATTTTTGCTCCTTTTGTGTTTCATTGTCTTATGTATATTATAGGACTATCTTCTTGCCATAGCATTTCCTAAGAAATTAAATTGCAGGAAAAATATAACTTGTGGGCCTAGAGATTTTGAAGAAAGCTGAATCATTTTTCTGAGCTGTTAGCATTGTCTTTCTTGGGGGTTACATTTCTTAAAAGGTCATTTGTACCTGAAATTTCACTTATGTTTCTGGTATACCTATCCCAGATATTAAGCATTTCACTTAATAGAGTTTATTATCAGCACAAAGATCTGAGTCTGAATTCATTTTATTAGTTCTTTCATTGTTTTATAAGTAACTACTGTAACACTCTTTTGTATGTATGTTAAAAGTTATGTATGTACTTGGTGTTAAAAGAAAAAGAAATTACAGAATTACACAAAGTAAGAAGTGAAAGACTCCCTCTCCCTCTGGTTCACACAGTATAGCCACTGTTAACCATTCGGAGCATGGATGTGGTGATGTTTCAGAGAGCTATCTACATGATTTCAAATGGGAAAATCTCATTTCAGGTTCTGAGCAACATTCATACAGTCAGAGCCACGTGGCAACCTAAAAAGCCCAAAACATGGAACTTTTCTCCCCAGGTGAGTCATCTGCTGAGTGAATAGAGTAAACAAACTTTATCTGTTAAGTGTTGTGCAATTAATGTCTAAAGCGAGGCTATCAAAGTGTATTTCTGAAATAACATGTGTAGGGCAGAGAATATGGGGTCAGATTCGAATCTTTAGATAATTTAATGTTCTTCGAAAACTTTGATAGAAAGTACTCACCAAAGTGAGTACTTAATTCCTATGAGTCATCTTATTCAATGGATTTCATGATTCAATTCTAGAAAATTCCCTCTGATGAAAAACAAAAAAAGATAACATTTAGAAAGTGTTTTTCAAAAACGAAGTCTCCAATCGTGTTATTGAGAGCTGTGCTTTCTTCAGATTAAGTCAAGGGTGATGCCGAGGGGACTGATACATTGCACCCAGGGACTGCCAAGACTGGAACAAAAAAGACTGGAGTGGGGTTGGGTGGTTTCAGACTGCTGAGTCAATACTATATAGGGGCCATGAAGATGAAGATGGCCATGTTCCTTTTTTTTTTTATTTTTTTTTATGGTGACACTGGTTAATGAAATTCAATTTCATCTGTACACTATAACAGTAAGGCATATATATATTTACACTGTATGTTCACCTCCCATAGTTAGATTTCTTTCTGTCACCACCTTTTTGACCCCCTTTACACTACCTCCCCCTCCTCCACCCTCTAATCTCTGGTAACAACTAGTCTATATTCCATGTCCATGAGTCTCCATTTGTTTGTCCAGTTCATTTGTTGCTTTTAGGTTTACATCTCACATATAAGTGATATCATGTCATTTTCAACTTTTTTTGTCTGGCTTATTTCGCTTAGCATGATTATCTCGAGGTCCATCCATGTTCTCACAAATGGCAGTATTTCATCTCTTCTTATGGCTGAGTAATATTCCATTGTATATATGTACCACAGCTTCTTCATCCAGTCATCTATTGTAGGACACTTCGGTTGCTTCCATGTCCTGGCCACTGTGAATAATGCTTCTATGAACATCGGTGTGCAGATATCTTTTCGGATGTGGGTTTTCAAGTCTACTGGAACAGCCCCGCCTTGTTCCAGTAGAGGGATTGCTGGATCATATGGTAGATCAATTCTTAGTGTTGTGAGGAATCTTCATACTGTTTTCCTTGGTGGCTGTACCAATTTGCAGTCCCACCAGCAGTGTATGAGGGTTCCTTTTTCTCCTCATCCTCTCCAACATTTGTTATTACTTATCCTGTTGATTATAGCTATTCTAACCGGTATCAGGTGGTATCTCATTGTGGTTTTGATTTTCATTTTCCTAATAGCTACCGATGTTGAGCATCTTTTCATATATTTGTTGGCCATTTGTATGTCCTCTAGGGAGAAGTGTCTGTTCAGGTCCTCTGCCTATTCTTTGATTACATCCTTTGTATTTTTGTTGTTATTATGTTGCATAAGTTCTTTGTATATTTTGGATATTAGGCCCTTATCGAAGGCATTGCTTGCAAATATATTTTCCCATTCGGATCATTGTCTTTTTACCTTATTGACAGTTTCTTTTGCTGAGCAGAAGCTTTTCAGTTTGATGTAGTCCTATTCATTTATTTTTGCTTTTACTTCCCTTGCTTTTGATGTCAAATTAATAAAATCCTCTTTAAGACTAAGATCCTTGAGTTTAGTTCCTATGTTTTCTTCTATGCATTTTATTGTTTCAGGTCTTATATTAAGGTCCTTAATCCATTTTGAGTTAATTTTTTGTGTGTGATGACAGACAACAGTCTAGGTTCATTCTTTTGCAGGTGGCTTTCCAGTTTTCCCAGTACCATTTATTGACTAGATTTCCTTTCTCCACTATATGTTTTAGGCTTTTTTATCGAAAATTATTTGCCTGTGATTCGTATGAGTTTTCTTCTGGACTCTCAATTCTGTTCCACTGGTCCATGTGTCTGTTTTGCTGGCAATACCATACCATTTTGATTACTGTCACTTTGTAGTATAATTTGAAGTCAAGCAGATTGATACCTCCAGCCTCATTCTTTTTTCTCAGGATAATTCTGGCAATTCGAGGTCTTTTGTGCTTCCATACAAATCTGATGATTTTTTGTCCTGTTTGTTTTTTTTTCTTTAAATGCCAATGGGATTTTGATGGGGATCGCATTAAATCTGTAAAATGCTTTAGGTAATATATGGTCATTTTAACTATATTGATTCTTCCAATCCAAGAACATAGAATATCTTTCTATTTCTTTGTATCTTCCTCGATTTCTTTTAATAAGGTCTTATTCTTTTCATTATATATGTCCTTCACATGTTTCGTTAGATTTATTCCTAGATATTTTATTCTTTTTGTTGCAGTTGCAAAAAGAATTATTTTTTCCACTTCTTTTTCTGACATTTCATTATTAGAGTATAGGAATGCTATGGACTTTTGAACATTGATTCAGTACATTACTGAATTTGCTTATTGTTTCTAGTAGTGTTCTTGTGGAGTCTTTAGGGCTTTCTATATAGAGAATCATGTCATCCACAAATAGAGACAGTTTGACTTCTTCATTTGCTATTTAGATGCCTTTTATATCTTTCTCTTGCCTGATTGTACTCGCTAGGACCTCCATTGAATAGCAGTGGCGATAGTGGACAGCCCTGCCTTGTTCCTGATTAGAGGGAACGTTTTTAGATTTTCACCATTAAGTATAATGTTGGCTAAGGGTTTGTCATACATGGCCTTTATTATGTTAAGGTGCTTTCCTTCTATACCGATTTTGTGAAGTGTTTTGATCATAAATGAGTGCTGTATCTTATCAAAGACTTTTTCTGCATCTATTGATATGATTATATGCTTCTTATTTTTTAATTTGTTAATGTGGTGTATCACATTAATCGATTTGCATATGTTGAACGATCCCTGTGCTTCTGGGTTGAAACCCACTCGATCGTGGTGTGTAATCCTTTTAATATGTTGCTATATTTAGTTATCTAGTATCTTATTTAGGATTTTTGCATCTGTGTTCATGAAAGATATTTGTCTGTAGTTTTCTTTTTTTATGTTATCTTTAGCAGGGTTTGGTATGGGGGTAATACTGGCCTCATAAAATGAGTTGGGAATTATTGCCTCCTCTTCGCTTTTTTGGAAGAGTTTGAGGAGAATAGGTATTAAATCTTCTTTGAATGTTTGGTGGAATTCATTGGAAAGCCATCTGGTCCTGGACTTTTATTTTTTGGTAGGTTTTTGATCATTGTTCAGTTTCCATACGGCTGATCGATCTACTTTGATTTTCCAGTTCTTCTTGATTCAATCTAGGAAGGTTGTATTTTTTCAAGTACTGGTCCTTTCTTTCTAGGTTGTTAAATTTGGTGTCATATACTTTTTCATATTATTCTTGCATGATTTCTGCAATGTCAGTTGTAATTTCCCCTCTTTCATCTCTGATTTTGCTTATTTGTGTCCTTTCTGTTTTTTCTCTAGTGAATCTAGCCAGGGGTTTGTCAATTTTACTAACCTTCTCAAAGAATCAGCTCTTCATTGCACTTATTTTTTTTTATCATTTTTTTTGTTTTCAATTTCATTTGATTCTGCTCTATTTTGATGATTACTTTCCTTCTGCTGACTTTAGGCTTCATTTGTTCTTCCTTTTCTAGTTTTTTAAGATGAAGCGTTAGGTTGTTGATTTGGGCTATTCTTGTTTTTGGAGATAGGCCTGTAATAATATGAACTTTCCTCTTAGTACTGCTTTTGCCATGTCTCAAAAGTTTTGATATCTTGTACTATCATTATCATTCGTTTCTATGTATCTCTTGATCTCTCTTTTTATTTCTTCTCTGACCCAGTTATCCTTCAGTAGCATATCATTTAATCTCTGTGTATTTGTGATTCTTCCTCCTTTCTTGTTGCAGTTGATCTCTAGTTTCAAAGCATTTTGGTCAGAGAACATGGTTGGTATGATTTCAACCCTGTTATATTTGTTGAGGCTATCTCCATGTCCCAGTATGGGGTCAATTCTTGAGAATGTTCCGTGTGCAGTAGAGAAGAATGTATAAGCAGCCGTATGGGGACAGAAGGCTCTGTAAATGTTAATTATGTCCAGTTGGTCTATTGTGTCATTTAAGGATATTATTTCCTTATTGATTTTCTGTTTGGATGATCTGTCCATTTCCAACAGTGGATATTTAGATCCTCTACTACGATAGTGGTTTGTTCTGTTAGTAATTGCTTTATATGTGTTGGGGCTCCCTGATTGGGCGCATTCATAAGTGTTATGTCTTGATGCATGATTCCCTTTATCATTATGAAGTGACCTTCAGTATCTTTCTTTACCTTTTTTATTTTGAAGTCTGTTTCGTCTGATATTAGTACCGCTACTCCCGCTTTTCTCTGAATGCCATTTGCTTGAAATACTATTTTCCACTCTTTCACTCTGAGTCTATATTTGTCTTTGGAGCTGAGATGTGACTCCTGGAGGCAGCATGTGGTTGGGTTTTGTATTCTGATCCATTCTGCAACTCTGTACCTTTTTATTGTTGAGTTCAGTCCATTTACATTTAGGGTGATTATGAAATATGAGGGTTTTTTTATAGCCATATTATCCTTTGCTTTCTGGTAGCTCGGTGTTTCCATTGCTTCCTTGACCTGTTTTCTTTATTTTTATTGGCTTTGTGAGTTTTCCCTCTAGTCCTTCTTGTTTTATATTTTATACTTCAGTTCTGAATTGGTGTGTGGTTACCATTATGAATATGAAAAAGATAGTTACATATATATGTGTGTGTGTGTATGTGTGTGTGTGTATTTTCTTCTATGCGTGCCTTATCTCCATTCCCCCTTGTGAATTTGGATCTTTGAATCCTCCCCTTTTTAGTCATTGTTGTCTCAATTTGTCCCTATGTATGCTGAACATTCATTACTATCTCACTATAGCAATTCTCTCCTTAATGTTTAAGCTTATAATGCCCTGTTCTTAGTTAGGGTTGCACTCCTCTGCTTCTATTTGCCTAAGAGTCACCATACTCCTAATTATCTTTTGTGAGGGTTTTTTTTTTTGTCATTTCCTCTTTTATTATTTCCTGTAGTGCAGGCCTTGTTGTGGAGAAATCCCTCAATTTTTGTATATCTGGAAAGGTCTTTATTTCTCCTTCATATCTCCTTCACTATTTTTGGCTGGTAGTTCCTTTCACTTAATAGTTTGAATATTTGATTGCACTCCTTTCTGGCTTGTAAGGTTTGTGCTGAGAAATCCAACAATAATCTAATGTGTTTTCCTTTATAAGTTACGATTTTCTTCTCCCTAGATGCCTTGAGAATTTTGTTTGTGTCGTTGATTTTTGATAATTTTAATACAATGTGTCTTGGTTTCCGTTACCTGCATGGCTAGAGGGTTAATATTCCTGAGAGGGGGACAACAGAATGATTGAGAAAAACACAGAGACAGTGTATACAAAAGCTGAGACTAGGGGGGACACTGCACTTTGCTTAGATACAGTGACCCCAAGCTCAGTGCAATTATTATATACTTTTGAAGGTTGAGGAGGGAATGGGAGTCTTCTTCTCAGGACTTGAAACTTGCTGGCAGCAGTAATTTCCCAAGGCCTGTCTGTACCCGGTTAGCAGCAGCTGTATGTTAACTGTTTTGCTTCTCTATCCTTGGCAGATTGCTACACAGCCAAGCTTTGCCAATGCTTCGATCAGGTCCGGTTCAGATCTGGCTCTCTACAATTGGTGTAGGCATTTTTGAGTTGTGATAATTGGGTGTACTATTGACTTCTTGAATTCCAATTTCCAACTCATTCCTTAGATTTGGGAAATTCTTGTCAACTATTTCTCTGAAAATGCTTTCTAGTCCTTGCTCCTTTTCCTCACCTTCGAGAATGCCCATTATTCTTATGTTTCCTCTCCTGATGGTGTCAGCTAGTTCTTGAATTTCTCTTTCATTATTTTTCATTCTTCAGTTTCTTCTTCTGATTCATTTCTAGATTTCTATCTTTAATATCACTGATCCTTTCCTCCATTTGGTCGACTCTATTTCAACTCTTGCAGTGTGTTTTATTTATCTCCAGAAGATTTATTCTGGTTTGTTTGGGTTTTTTTTTTTTTTTTTTTTGAGGGTTTCATTCCCCTTGTTCTGCTCATCTAGTTTTTTCAATTCCTGATTGTTGATATGACTCATTTAGGAACTCACTGAGTTTTGTCAGAAGTAGCATCCTGAATTCTCTGTCATTTAAATCACATGTTTCTATGTCTATAAGCTTATTTTCTGGAGATTTTTCTCTTTCTTTCTGAGATGCCTTGTCACCTTGATTGTTCATGGTGTTTAATGGACTATTTCTCCACCTGGGCATTAATAGGAGTGTATTTATCTTTTTTCCCAGAAAAATTTGTTATATAAAGGCCTCTCTTTAGCCTGTTGCAAAGAAAGCGCTTTTCTTTTGGTTTCCTGTAGGTGGCGCCTAAGCCTCTTGTATCTATGCTTTATTTGAAGCCTTAATAATGCCCCTTTTTTTCTTATAGATGTTTAATTGCCCTCACTACTCTCAGTCAGTCCCTGTCAGTATTAGCGACAGTTTCAGTAGTGTTTGCACAGATTCCCCTGGGGCTCCTCAGTGTTCGGTCTCGGAGGGGTCCTCTGGGTTGGGGGATAGAGGCTGCGGCTCAGCCTCGGTTTTGCAACTGGGACCAGTAAATATCAACTGTTGTTTCTCTGCCTGCTGCTTCTCTGCTTTCTGCTCTAATGACTGGGCGCTGCCGCTGGCCGTGTGGAACTCACAGCTTTCCCAGGCCCGGCTGTTCAGGAACTCACTGCACTTTCTCCCCTCCCCACTCCTACAGAGAGCACTGGAGGCTGCAAGCAGCAGCTTCTTTATTTCTCCCAGTGCACTTCCCAACTCCCGGGGTTTTGACCTATGGTGACTCATGCGCAGATCCCATGCTCATACATACTGGTGTGCAGTTTGAGTGTTTTTTGTTCAGTTTTAGATGTTCAGCTTATTGTTGTTTCAAGGAGAGAGATCTGAGGATGTCTCTCACTCCACCATGTTTCTCCAAACTCTCCATGTTCTTTTAATAAGATTAGTTATCTGTAGTTTATTTTACTTTAATTTTTCTTCCTCCAAGTTTTCATTGCTTTAGTATTTACTTCCCTCCCACACTAGCTTGTGTGTGTCACTGCAGCCTAAGAACCTTCATTAACTTCCTCTTATGGCTTCAAAAGATATTAAAGCAAGATAGAGTTTCAGTAAGAGGGTACCAGATGTGGCGGAGGCCTGGCCACCATGCTTATGTGTTGCATGTGTCCACATGTTTCTAGAGCACAACTCCTGAAAATCCAGTATGATCTTCTAAGGACTACTTATATTTTGGCACAACACTTCACGATTCTGATATGGCATCTCTGTGTATGTGAAGTGTTTAGGGCAGAATTTTCTAATGTTTTCCCAGATATAAAGATGAACTGTTTGGAATGATAAATAATAAATAAATGTTACTTTGCTGAATGAAATTAACCATCTATTAGGTGTGAGGTATTCTTCCTAGGTGTCGTAGGAACTTACATGGTGCTAGAGAAGAGACATACAGACATATAATAACTATTTTATGGAATTCTAACCCTATGTATTATCTCATTTAATCCTTAGTGTACTCCTATGGAGTGGGCACTATCGATAACTATCATAAAGGCAGAATATAATGGTTATGGGGCTCCAGGTACTGTGGAAGCACAGAGGAGGAGGTTGAAATTAATTACAGGCTCAGGAAGATTTTGTGGCAGAGGATGGGTGGGATTTTGTAGGCAGGAAAGAGGGATGTGGTTGTGCAGGGAAGGGGAATGGAATGAGCAAAAGGGAAGGGAAAGGGAAATTCACAAAGCCCACCTAAGGAAAGTTGACCAATGTGTGTATGAAGTCTTTAATTTTAGTTCTGTTTACAAAGAACAATGGCTACTATAAATATCTTATATATGCAAATGATTTTTGTCCACCTCTGGGGATCTAGATATACTACCTGCTTCACATTAGCCTCTCCTCTGAGCAAAGAGTAGGTGAAGGTGAAGGTATTTCCCTTTAACACAAAATTAAATTTTTAACTTTCAATTCATTGGTGTAGATGAGTCCAGTCTATCTGCTTTTTGTTTCCTTTAAAATACCTTTATTATGATTCAAAGGCATAAACCATTTACAGGTGAATGGAGCTGAAACCTGCCTTCCAGTTTAAATTTTTATTAGTAACTTTGTTTTCTTATTGTTTCAGATTACTGGTATCTTGCCCTGCTTGCTTGATGGTGATTGTTTTCTTAGGTCCAATTCTTCATCTCCAGATCTTGGAATATTATTTGAACTTGGAATTTCTTATATTCGCAATGTATGTCATTTGACAGATAAAGCTTTCTAATGTACCAGTTAAAAGAAAAGTTTTTTAAAAAAAAAAGCTTGTATCTATAAGTGAAATAATTGAGGTTTTTATATGTAATAGAATTTTAATCCTTGAATAATGAGAATGGCAGTCATTCTAATTTATATTTAGTGCTGCTTTTTCAGTAGCTCTTAAAATTAAAGTGGAGATTTCAACATCACTAATTACCAGGGAAATGCAAATAAAAACCACAAAATATCACCCCACACATGTCAGAATGGCTATTATCAAAAAAACAATAACAAGTGTTGTTGAGGATGTGGACAAAAGGGAACCTTCGTGCACTGTTTTTATGAATGTAAATTGGTTCAGGCTCTATGGAAAACAATATGGAGATTCCTCAAAAAATTAAAATATCATTACCATATGACCCAACAATTCCACTTCTGGGTATTTATCTGCAGAAAACAAAAACACTAATTTGAAAAGATATGTGCACCCCTATGTTCACTGCAGCATTATTTACAATAGGCAAGATATGGAAGCAACCTAAATTGAATGAATAGATAAAGAAGTGGTACATATATACAATGGAAAGGAAACCTTGCCATTTGTGACAGCATTGATGGACCTAGAGATTATTATGCTAAGTGAAATAAGTCAGAGACAAATACCATATGACCTTGCTTATATGTAGAATCTAAAACAAAAACAAAAATGGAAAAACAAACTTATAGATGCAGAAAACAGATTGGTGGTTGCCAGGGGTAGAGGGGTGAGAGAAATGGGTAAAGCGGGTCAAAACATAAAAAGGAAAAAATAAATAAATAAGATGCATTACTGAGCAACACCAGAAAAGTTTACTGTTGTCTAGTGATTTGTGACCAAAAAAAAAAAAAACTCTTTTAAGGAAAAAAAACAACCTCAAATTGGATGTAAGCTGCAGATATACTGAAACTTAACAGTATCAACAAAGCCATACCTCAAGTTCTAAAGGTTATCTGCCACATAATATATAATATATACCTGGAAGAAATACACCATAATTCAACAACAATTACTTATAATCTTAAATATGACCAAGAGCTTAGAAGGTAAAAAAACAAAACAAACCAATCTGTTTCCAATAAAAGAATTTTCCTGAGGAGGCCCCGCTCAGAAATTTACATCTGTATCTCAATAGCTAGAATAAGAAGGGACATATGGCCACCCCTAACTGAAAAGGAATCTGAAGGAAAAGCACTTTTTTAGCTAGGCATATTGCTTTTCCCTCCCTGGAGGGGGAAAAAAAAAAAACTGAGGTTCTTATAATAAATAAAAAAGGTAGGGATAATATTGGGCAGGAAAATAATTAAAAATAAATAAAAGTGTATTTGTTTACATTTATAGCCCAAGTGACATCCATGTTTTTAAAGAATGAAGATGTGAAAAGATGGGACTTTTCAGAAAGTGATAGAAGATGCTCGGTGGCATTCCAATGTAGTAGTTCCCCTCTATCCTAGAGTACAGAGTACACTTAACCTTGTGTGAGTGTTCTAATTAAGGGACCTGGCGGAGTGGTGATTTTATAAAGGGAACATTGGAAATTTGGATTAACTTAACATCATGTAAACTATTGAGCTTGTGGGCATGGGTCTGTTATAGTAATCATATGCCTCCATATTCTAATAGCTTGAAAGATGTAGTATATGTATGTGGTCTTATGGTAACCCAGAGAGCCCACTGTTCTGACATTAATGGTATTATACCATCTTTTCATTTCTTTAAGGCAAATTCATCCATATGTGTCATAGTGGGTAGGACAAGAAAGCAGGTCCCCCAAGTGAATTCTGGTGGCCTCTGACATTTGACAGTAGGGTAAAGTTCTGAGCAGGAAGATTTTTGATCAATTTTAACTTTCTCATTCCATCTTTCAGTGAGACAAGACTTCATGATCTCACGCATAATCAATGTGATTGAGCTCATTCCACTCAAGAGACAGAAGCGGCAGTTGTCACATCATTAGGTCTAGGGCTTTTCAAGAACAATTTAACGTGATGAGATTGTCACTTTACCATCTGGCCTGCAAATACAAAGGGACTCTGCTGTGTTTCACTTTGTTTTTTTGTGAAGAATTTTTTAGTTCTCAAGGCAAATAATAATTTTGTTCCTTTAAAAGGACTTGGTATGTGCTTATAAATTTGACTGCTTCAGACATTAAGTTTCATCTACTTTTTTATTTCCTAGTCAACGGGTGAAAGAGGAGAATTAAGTTGTGGCTGGGTGTTTCTTAAACTTTTTGATGGCAGTGGAATTCCTATGCCAGCAAAGTAAGTTGGCTATATATTTTTTCCAAGTGGGTAATTTTATAGAAATTCATTTTTTAAAATCTAGATACCTCAGATTTACAGAATGTATGTTCTATTAGCATTTTAATAACTTGTGGGGAGGGGGCTTTTAATGTTGATTTTAATGTTCTTTTAGGTAGTATATGAAAATAGTATGTACAGTCTCATCCTAAAGAGAAATAAGTAACACATATAGAAAAGGGATTTTAAAACCTGTTTGCACCAACTGTCTGCTGAGAATGTTCTTTCAGTAATTTCCTATGGAATTAGCACATTTCGCAGTGCTAAAATAGAGCCTAATTCTCTCTAAAGAGAGGGAAAGCTAAGTCCAGGATCCCCAAATCCTCTATGACTCTGCCTTTCTTCTGTAGATCGTACATTGAAATTGTCCTGGCAGCCACTGTAAACAAATTTAAAACTTGAGACCAAAAGACAGACCAGTAGCAAATATTTGCAATATATACATGACAGTCAGAATGTTATTATCCCTAATATAAAAAGGGCTCTCAAAAGTTGAGAAGAAGAAAATCTAAATTTTAAATGGGCACACACAGAAATCTAAGTATAGGATATAAACAAGAAATTAACAGAGACACAAGTGGGTGCTTGGTCAGCAGGGTGATGACAGAGATCTCAGATTTGCAATTATAAAATTCAGGGCTCTAGTCCTAGCTCTGCCTATGTTACTGTAGGCAGGTTCCTTAATGTCTCCAAGCATCAGTTTCCCCCAACTTTAAATATTATAATAGTTCCTAAACCCAAAGGTTTGATTCAGATAATGCTCCCCACTCCATCTCTACTGACACCACAGATGGACGTGACCTCCTTACCACAGGACAGAGGTGAAAGTCCTTACTCCACTAGTCCTCTGACATCACCCAGTGGAAGGGGGAGCAACATTTTATTACCGCCTCCACCCTGCTATCTTAGATGTAGAATCCCGGGCTTCTTTAAGATTTGAGAGTTTTTTCGTTTGTTTGTTTTTAATAATGATCAGGGTTTTAGTTGTACTTAGTAGGAAGGAAAGGTATGTCTATTCAATTTTTCCTAAAGTGGAGTCATAGCTATTATTTTTAATGAGTAGGAGGCCTGTGTTTTGATATAGAAACATTTACAAAGTATATGATTATGTGAAAAAAGCAAGCTGCAGAATAGTACATATACTGTGACTCGACTTTTGTTTATGAAAAACTATGTGCACATCTTTGGGAGGATTTATGTAAACTGTTCCCAGAGGTTGCCCCTGAGGAGCAGGTGTGGGGAGCTGGTACAGTAAGATGAAAGAGGCTTTTTACCTTCCCCTTTCTACACTTTGGCAGTTTGTAGCTTTAAAAGAAAACATGTTTATTTTGAGACTTAACTGTGTGTATTTTTTTGCACTCACATAGAAAAAGATAGGTCAAGGGGCTACCAAAAGGAGGGGGATAAAGAGGGAGCTTTCATATTTTACTTATTTTTATGCCATTCAAACTTTTACAACAATCTACATGTTACTTTTATATTTAAAAATAATATAAATTCATAATGGCTTTATTTCAAATGTTGACTCAAAACATTTGAAAACACATTTTAAATAACAAGCCATTAAAGTCGAAATAATGACATCAATTAATCTTTCTTATTTTAATGTGGAAAAATATATTTCTGCAGTTAATAGTTAAGAAAGAAAGAAAGACTTTATTTACTGAGATGATACCTCACAGAAGAATCAACAACTTTCATTCTCATTTACCAACGAAACATAAATAAAATGTCTCCAAATGTATCTATGTTTCAAAATGTCCATCACAGGTCTTCGTCATAGCATACCCTTCTTTTGTAGGACTTACGAACTCTACCTGAATGGTGGCACCCCTTATGAAAAAGATATTGAAGTGGACCCTTCAGTATCCAGAAGAGGTACAGCTCTTACGATTCACTTTCCTTAGAGATCAAACAAACAGAAGAGTCACCAGAGAAAAATAGCTGTATTCTATTATGTAAATAATAGTCACATTTAAAAAATGTGTCATTCGACATTAAAATTTCAGTCTTTTTTTTTTTCAGTGCTTATATTTTTCGTGGTACCTATGAGACTCTACTGTAGGAAATGAGGAATCATGAGGAGGCCACATTTTATCCTCTCTGAATACTCTGTTGAATTAGTAGAACAGGCTAATTCAGAGATTGCCTGTCCCTAGTCAACAGGTGGAGACATTTGAAGTTATGATGTACATGCCAAGTTGCCCTCCAGAAATAATGAGAACCTTTTAAATATGTTCACTGACCAGGCACTGTACTAGATAGATGATGGGGAATGGAGAGTAAGACAGATGTGGTCTTTGCCTCATGTGGCTCAGAGCCTGACAGCATTTAATCTACCCCTCTGACCCTGATACCTGCCCGTCTTTATTTCATGACTCAGGACACACAGCACTACTGCTGCCCTGGCAATGCTAGTGCCCACTTCTTGGAACAGGAAGGAGTTGGGGTTCTGAGATGCAGGTGGTTCAACCTAAACTCTGACCTGCTTTATAAACTCCCTTTTCTCTTTGTAATCTGGTGACATCACTGTTTGAAGCTTCTGATGTAGTGGCAGCTCCAGGAGTAGACGCTGGTGCTGAAAATATTTTGTTCTATTATAACAAACTACTTCAATTTATTATTAAAAGACTTATTATACTCACTGTCCCAGCACTTAAAATTTTGACATTTATTAACTTTTTTGAAAGCACATGGGAATGTTTTCCATCAGATGATGACAATGAGAAGGCAGCCTCATCTTCTGGTAAAACTGAGAACTTTGAACAGAAGATCGAGAGACATACTCAGGTTGGTATAGCTTTGACTTGTCCGGTAAACTTTGGTCACTCAGTGTATGTAGAACATCTCTGCTTTTGACTTTTCCTCCTGCTTGAGCATCTTTTGTTGGTTATTTTTTCCTCATTAAATCATCTGCCAAAGATCAATAGGGAAATGGAATAGTAATAAAGTTCAGATTAGCTTATTCTTCTATTTACTAGTTAATACAAATGATAGATTTGGTCAGAAATAGTATAGAAACTTCTAAGTGAGGCTTACTGATCCATGAGCCTATCTTCAGGAAACTTTTTTTAAATGTTTGTTGAGGTATAATTTAGGTACAACAAAATTAATCCTTTTAGTTTATAGTTCTTTGAGTCTTAAATGTATATAGTTATGTAACTACCACCACAATCAAGATAGAGAATGTGTCCATCACTCTAAGCCAGTTATCTCTGCTGCTTTGTCATCAGTGCCCCAGCGCCAAGCAACCATTCATCTATTTTCTTTCCAAACAGTATTGCCTTTTCTAGAATGTCATATAAATGAGATCATGCAGTTTGTAGCCTCGTAAGTCTGGTTTTCACTCTTTATAATGCTTTTGAGATTCATGCATGCCGTTGTATGTGTTAATAGTTTGTTCTTTTTTTGTTCTAGTTAGTACAGGCACACCTCGTAGATATTGTAGGTTTGGTGCTAGACTACCTGCAATAAAGCGCATAGCACAGTAAAGTGATGTTTTGGTTCCCCGATGCATATAAAAATTATATACTACTGTAGTCTACTGTAGTCTTTTAAGTGTGTAAGAGCATTATGTCTAAAAAACAATGTATGTGCCTTAATTAAAAATACTTTATTGCTAACAAATTCTAACCATCATCTGAGCCTGCCGGAAAAATGGTGCTGAAAGAATTGCTTCACGCAGGGATGCCACAAACCTTCAGTTTGTTAAATCACAATATCTTCAAGGCACAATAAAGCAAGGTGTTCCTGTATTCCATTTGGTGGATGTACCATAGTGTGTTTATTCAGTTACTAGTTGATAGACATCTGGGTTTTTTCCAAGTTTTAGCAATTAGGAAGAAGCTGCTCTAAGTATTTGCATATGGTTTTTTTGTATGTGGACATATGTCTTAATTTCTCATGGGTATAGACACCTACAAGTGGGGTTGCCTGGACAGATAGTGTTTGTTTACTTTATAAAGAGCTGCCAAACTGTTCTGCAAAATGACTATACCATTTTAAACTCTCACCAGCAATGTATGAAGAATTATTCCATATTCTTGACAACACTTGGTATTACCAGTTTTTTTTCTGTTTGGACCATTTTAATAAGTGAGTAGTGGTATCTCATGGTAGTTTTAATTTGTATTTTCTTCAGGGAGCTTTTACACTAGTAGAATCCCAGGTCTATCATTTTCTAACTCAGGAACCTCTTGGACAAGTCATTGAACCATCTCTCTCAAGGTCTCAATGTCTACATCTTTAAAATGGGCACAATAGAAATATCAACCCCATAAGCCATAATGAGGTTAAGTTTAATGAAAAAAAAAAGGCACATAGTAAAGCACAGTAGGTATGAACTATAATTATTGACTACAGTTATGATTATGTAAACAGATAAATGCAAATATAGTGCCAGGTAGTTGGTGCTATATGTCAGGGGTCCCCAACCCACAGGCCACATATCAGTACTGGCCCATGGCCTGTTAGGAAATAGGCCACACAGCAGGAGGTGAGTGGCAGGCAAGTGAGCGAAACTTCATCTGTATTTGCAGCCGCTCCCCAGCACTAGCATCACCACCTCAGTTCTGCTTCAGATCATCAGGCATTAGATTCTATAGGAGTACCAGTCCCTGGTGCCAAAAAGGTTGAGACGGCTGCTATATGTCATAAAATTTGTCCAAATGAAAGTGTGCTATGTAGCTGGTAAGATCAAGGGGCATTTGAAATAAGCTTTGAAAGACTGGACAGATACATTGTGTGAAGGTGTGAGGTGTGAAGGAAAGGGCCTTTTCATAGGGGGTACAGTGAATGGAGGTAAAGGGAAAGCATGGCACAGGGACAAGACTGATGCAGTTGGACTGTCCCACCGCAACCTACTTATTGTTGCAGTTATCAAGAAGTAGGGTAATATTTGACATCGCTCTTAGCAATAACTTTTGAATATGTCTTCTCTTCCTGTATAAAAACTTGGCTTACCCCTCTGAATGCTTGCTTTTCTCATTCTAGATCATGTTCTTAATTTAGTTATCTCTAATATTAAAATGTGTTTTATAATTATAGTATTAATAGTTAAATCTTTCAGTAACCATTAATAATATGTTTATGGGTGTTATTCATTCTCTTGGCTTTTTTTCCCCTTAGATGTTCACAGAGCCTATGCATTCCCTTTTTTGGCCAATCTTTCCTCAAAAAAATTGTTATTTTTCAAGATTAAAAAAAAGAAGCATGGTAGCAGTCTTTGTAACAGAAGAGCTAACATCCTGTTTGGCCTCATTCTTCCTCCTCCTTCACCTCTCTCTACCCACCATTGATAAGCCCAGAACCCAGAGCTCTCCTGAGCATGTCCTTCAGCACAGCTCTTAATAATGTTTCTTTGACCCCAAATACTGGTTTGCAGATATGTTTTACAATCTAGACATCAAATCTGACTGGGTGGTGCAGAGTTCGGATAGGTGAGCCCTTCTTCCAAGGCAGTGAACATTCTGTGTGCTGGGCTTTTAAAGAAAGCTCCTGAGTCCTTGCTCTCCAGACCTCAAGAACTGGAGGGCTTATTTGATTGTAGCACGCAGTAGGCACCGAATATGTTTACCTTGAAGATCTTCAAGGTAAAGATCTTCCTTCTAGTGTAAATGTGTACATCTTGGGGGCTCTGCTCAGCCTCCTGCAGTCCCTGGGCCTCCCCTGTCCCACCTTGTCTTAGAGTGTTCTCTCCTCTTAGAACCCACAGAGAGACTTGACTACAGTCTTGAAATTGCCACTCCACTTTGCATGGACTGGAAACATATATACCTGGTAGTGTCACGTGCAGGTTGGGGCACCTTGCTGGTGGGCTTTAGGCTCAGGCTGGCTCTCACAGAAACCAGGCCATAGATGTAATGACGCCAGAGGACCCAGGATTGCTTCAGTGCCAGGGGGCTGTGGCTATGGGTTCCAGGTGAAAGGCTGGGCACCAGCATGGGTACTTTTAGACATCAGTGCTCTGAGCTTATATGCCCTGGAGGTAGAGACTAAGGCATAACTGATCCATCTCTGTCTCTTCTTCCCCGACCTGCCACCTACAGTGGATGGAGAAGGCATGAAATAATGTGCCATCATCTTCTTCCTTTCCTTCAAAAGTACCTCCCACCTCTGTCCCTGCTCTCTGTTGCTTATAAACTTCACCTTGGTTTAGCCAAATTTCTCTGTTTAAAGGAGAAAGGACAAAGGCTCTTTGCATTATGCCATACAATAGTGCCGTCAGGACCGTGGGCAGGAAGCCCAGTTCAAATTTGTATTAGTGCCCATTTTCACCCAGATCCTTGCCAGTTGGCCTCCTACTGCCCCTTCTCCAGCTAGTAGGCATACATGCGAGTACACTTGGTGTCAGGAGACCTGTGAAGATGCAGTGAATCAATGTAGACTCACCTCCTTTATCAAAGAAACAGTAGCAGAGTCTTGCCCATGGGTCTCATTTTGCAGACAGTGACCCTCTCTGCGTGAGATAAAAAAGGAAGCAAATAGATTCTTCAGTTTCACCAAGATGTGTCTCTAATTTTGGAGCTGTTTTCCACAGAGGTTTAAGTTGATACGATTTGTCCAAAGGTCCCTGATGAGGGAAAGCCCTGAATTTAGGCTCAGACTCCCAGTGCCTAAGTTTTGCATACTGGGAAACACTGTAGAAGTAGACTGCATGTGTGTGTATATATTTGTTATAAATTTGTTTTATTTTTCTTTGCCTTTTTTATGCATTCTATCTTTTTTCTCTTTCACTTCCATTGTATTATTGCTAAAAATAAATGAGGCAATAGTATTACTTGCCTAGGGCCCATTATTACGTGCACTGCACTTCTGCTACCAGTTTGTTGGTCTATCTGTGAGTACAGGAAGTATATTTTTACTTCTTCAGTTCAGCCAACCTTTTGTAACTCAGAGCTTTCAGTCTTCTTGGGTTTGGGAAAATCAGAGGATTTCCCTAAAGAAAACTCTAATATAAAAGAACAAGCAGCATTGTTTCATGTTCTGGAGAGGTATCAGAAGAAAAGAGTGCCTGCACTGTGTGAGGAGCAAGCTGGAGGTGATGCCTGCCAGACAGAGAGAGCAGGAGGATCTGTGAAGAAGGAAAGGGTAAAATAGAAGAGAAAGGTTC